TGGCTGTTCCCAATTGGCCCCCAAGACTGTAGAAGACTGCCTACAGTTCCTAGTGCTGCCAGGATGAGGAAACTGTCTTCCTGTGTTATTGTCTTCTTGGGATGCCCTCTTCATGGCCCATCTCTGACATCCACCGTTGAAACTTGGCCTTCAAGTTTCAACGGTGAAACTTGAAGGCCAAGCCTTTGGAGATGGTACTAGGGCTCACTTCAAATAATGCTGCAATTTGGTTTTGGGGAGTAAAAGCTGGAAGTTGCCCTATAGCACAGGCCCTAACCAGATCAGAACTGATATGAATTCAGCAATTGCAATTCCATTGTCAATATCAATTATCAATTTGATTTATTAGTCATTTTCATCGGCTCTGCTTTGACAGCCAACACCATCTCTAAGCAGCATATCAAAGGCATTGCATTTTTGCAAATAAATTGCATGCTCTGCGGTCAAATGTTTGTGAATGTTGGAGGTATTTGCTGTCTTTGTTGTAAATGGTGTTGTGATCATTATTTAAAAATGTAATGTATTACACATATCACACAAAACACTTTTCATAAAAGGTAATGCAGTGTGTTACCTTCTCCTGTGAGCAATTAAGTAATTCATTATACTACTCGTTCTGTTACTTTTGTGCAACTTTCATGCTGAAACGCACTGTCACATAATAACCAGTTAATAGCATAAACCTTAGCCTAGAGCCCCACATACAAACACAAATCCCTATCCTAATAATGACACACATATGATTTTCCCTCAGTATTTAAATATGAACACAAAGCAATGATGAAAACCAGCAGAGATGACCACAGTAATTCTACTGTAGAAACAAAAACCAATAGAAAAGGAGGCTGAAGCCTTACGTCTCATCAGTGAACCTGTTGAAGTTCACGGTCAGGCTGCTGGGTCTGTGTTGACATTCACTCAGCTTTAACATCACTGTAGGTTCTTGAATAGCTTAGTGTAAGCATGCTGTCAGCGCAAGTGCTTGAAATAAGTTGAGGTTCTGTTAGCAGCATAATGCAATCGTTTCTGTCCTGGACGCAGTTTCCACTTTACCATCGTGCTCTCATCCTTTTGTGCAATAAAAATAAAAGCAAGGTCCATATCTACACTGCAGACTGCGCCAATCTTTTCCTTCTTAGACACATGAACTGAAATCAGCTGATACTAGGGGAATTGATAGGCAAGCAGACTAACAGTTCCAAGAAATTGGACTACTAGGAACCGGTTCTTTACAAGAGCTGGTTCTTGATTCCCATCCCTAATATAAGGTGCCAATTAATCACCTGATTGTCAGAGTCAATAGCAGTCAATTGGCAAAAAAACCCCAAAAATATCCCAAGTATCCCAGCTGTGACTGTAGGGTCACCCCGCCTCCCCAGTTCACATTACACCCAATATTTGATCCAAATTATACATTCCAATGAATCATCTAAATTTAAATAGCCT